GTAGTTTGCATCTGATAAATGTTGTTTTAACAACCTTCGTAGACTAGAAACTAGTCGACACTGACCGTTGCATTAATTTCAATTCCTACTTTCCGATATTTTAAACGTGGTGATTAGGGATCTAAAAAAATTGTGGCGTGGGGGCACGGTTCTTGAGAGGTCGGTGCCGAGGTACTGGGTCCCTTGTTTTAGCAGCATTTTTTTCTTGAACAAGGAATTAACCCCACGTTGTTTCGGTACAACCAGTCAAGAAGCAGGCAGAAATATTCAGTAGCTTAATAATAACAGGGACAAATTGGTTTTCTAGTTTCGTGATATCGGAATGGATAAGGTGTACAGCCATGTTATCCGATGCGAGCGCCCCTTGTAGTTGCATTTCGCCTTGAACAGCCTGACAAGTGAGTATCCAGTGCAATAATACACAAGGGCGTAACCCTGATTTCGAAACCTTGTGTTTACATGGCGTAAGGTTGTACACTGGTTTCTCGTCACTCCAGCAGCAGACGAAGTTAGGCTGAAGCAAAAGCTAGTAAGATATGATGTCAAGAATAAGAATTCACTAGTCATTCCTTGAGATCATTCTGTCTGGCAGGAATATAAGTGAAACAGCGAAACGACTCGTAACTAATTTTGGAGTAAATGCAATATGCAAATTTCGAAATATACTAGGCAGTCTCATGTTGTTGTGGTGTTCTAAAACAAGAACAGCATTGACAGCAGAGTATCCAGATTTATAATCTATGCCCATTTGAAAGACACCATGGTACCGACAGGAAACATATCAGTTTTTCAAAGCAGGGGAAAATTGGAGCATGAATGGCATCTGTAGATATAGTTACATAGCGGAAAATATTATATTCATCAGTAGAGGGGAAAGAAAGGTCTCAGCTTTACAAGAACAATAAAATCAGGGTCTATACTTTATTCTGATTATTACATTGAATGAACACCGCTCAGCTAGGTTTAGGCGATTGCGAACTTAGCAAACTAGCATACTAAGGAACGACGCCGTACAGTTGGATGGAAGCAGCATAATCCAGAAAGAAACCAGAGAAGACATCACAGCAAAATACGCATAAAGTATCAGTACCAGACATGAAAGAGCCTAGCCGATTGATTTAGTATGGCTATTAATTTGGAGATGTTCTTGCTAAGAAATTTGCTGAACTCTTGGAACGTTTTCTCGTCTGCACTGCTTGAGTCACTATTTTTTGTACTTTACAGGTCGTTTTCTGGCCCATCCACGTTTTTAGTCTTAATGCATCTTAGCATTATTAGACATCATCTGGAAACAAGCAGTCGATTTAATGGTGTTCCCCTTGGTATAAAACTAGTCTTCCTCGTTCGCAGTTTTTTTATCACAGTACTCAGACAGAGGAGGCTAGAGAGTTGATTGTAAATAATTTATTTATGGCACTGAAAGTTCAAGTGCATTTGTTTTATTCTATCTGCTATTTCAAGTTTTTCTGTCGTTCACTGTGACAAGACACGAGACCGTTCTGTGCTGCTGGCATCTGTGTCACTCAAGCAAATAAAATCGGCTGATTTAGTGGTTTGAACCAAAACCACCATTTCGGCGCCATGAAGACTCTACGTTCATTCCACTCAGGAGAATCTTCCCCAAGTTTGATCTACCTCACGGATGGCTCACCACTTTCAGATACACAGTCTTTGTGAATTTTCCCCATTCTTTACAGTGGTCGAATACTCCCTGCTTTCGCGCTGAATTATTTAAACAATAAAATAGAAATCTAGGTAATAAAAGATTTTATACTTCATTTCAAAACCAGTGTGAACTAATTTCTTTGTGTCTTCTTTTGAAAGATACAATTAATACTTACTATGCAGTTAATGCAGTTAGTCAGTTGCCATAAATAATGTTTCCAATTACGATTATTTAAGGAAATATTTAAGTTCAGATATAAAACGGTAACCGTCAGGGAGTCGTATGCTGCTGACCAGCCAGTGCAACAACGTTTCGGTAACGTGAACGAATGCTGAATGTTGAATTTTGCTTCAGCGATGTTACGTCGGACGTGAACGTCATCCACAACTGCGAAACCTTGCAGAGGTTTTTGGTATCGTCAACATTAATAATCGAAAATGGTCTTCGTTCTGACTCTGTTTTTATAGGAAGAGGCTAATCGGTTGCTTTGGGAGCACATTGGAGAAAGAATTACATCTTTCACGTGTAAGGTTCATTTGATACTGCTATATTAATGTGATCGATATAATTAAGCAAATACTAAGCATAAAATTAAGCAAATTCTTTGAGTGGCATTGAAAACTTTTGCATGAATAAGGAAATTATACAACCTTTGAGATATAGATACCTTACAGTTCAAAAATGGGTGTTATTTGTGGCATGCTTAATTCGTTGAACTTATGATGCAGTTGTCCATGTTGCCAACAGTATGAAAACAATATACAGAACTGTGTGGTCAACAGCACTGCATGTGGTTTCCTGATTCTTTTCAATGAAATGGTACTCAGCTGTCTGCGTAATAACGATTAAACGTGAGTGACTAGACAAAATTTTTGTTACGAGCTGAATATTTTGCATTATGATGTTATGTGATGTTTACAGCGATGATAATAAGTCTCCACCCCTCCCCCCCCCACACACCACACGCACACAAGAAAGGTTAATTACCTTAATAGATTAATAGGTTAATCGTTCACAATCTGCCTGCAATCGACCCTTCATCATCGATGGTGGGGGTTACCCATATTTGCAGTGAGATTTGCTAAGATTTAAGGCTTAGTAGATTAGTAATTTTAATAATTATCATGCATCGTTGTGCAAACGGTAACACGCATTTATTAAAAATAATATTCTGATTTCAATGATTTCTTAAAAATTTTAATTCACTGATGCTACTTTTGCTGAAAACATTATCGGATGTGGGCTGATCAAAGCACGGAACTATTTTCTTTGAATGCACGTTCGCAAGGTTTTTAGGTTCTGTACTGTCCCTGCTGTGGCATGATATTATTCCAATCGTTCAGAGCTAATCATTGTTGTACATTTCTTTTCTGCAAACAGGAAAAGGCACGCTATGCTTTCGACGTTGCCGTAGACTTTACCTTGATAGACACTCCGGACTGATTGCAAAGAAACGGAGATCAGCGCCACACCATAAGCTTCGTGTAATGAAGTGTGTCACAAGTGTCCTCCAGTGACGAAACTGTAATGGAGACCGGTTGCAAACTTTCCTTTTTTCTTTTTCTTGGCTGCATATCAGATAGTAATTTAGGGAAATGGACTTGAAAATGGACTTGTTAAGCTTTTCGCATCCCAAATAATGATGACTGACAGTAGCATTTCTCGGCTAAGTGCATCTGAAAACAGTGTAATTTGCTGTTGTTAAGAACTATTTCCTGCGTACAATTTATATATGGGGTAGAAAAGTAGTCTAACAGGTGAAAAGTAAACTGAACATCAGCTGTAGTGCGATGTCTGGATTTCACTTTACTTCTGATGATATGTATTATTGGCTGCATCCCTGCTTCTCCGCCGTTTTTTAAAGTGTATGGTTCAAAGATCTCTGTTTCGATGCTTCAGGTTAGAAGGAATTTGATTAGATGTAGACGAGATCTGCAGATTTGTATTAAACTTATTGTACAATCTTTGTCTATCGTCTGATATTTACGAGTGTAACGTTAGGACAGCCAACTAATTGCATCACCGATAACACGTATAGTGAATAGCTGTCAGAAATTGCTGTTTTTGGTTCGTCTGCTATGATTATAACGTAATGGTTATAATTTCTAGGTATGCTACTGTTTAGTTATTTATTTTCATTTTTAGACGCAGATGATGAAAATGACCACATTTTGGTTTGCTCCGAGGAGGATTTTCAAACCATGCTATCATCGGTATGAATTTGTCATTACTTATGCAGTTTTATTCTACTTGTTCTTGCTATCTCATTATACCGTGTAGCCATTCCATTTGAATGAAATAAATGCGCACTCAAACTTATGTCCTTTCCTCTCCTTGCTAAGTCAGGCTTATGAGATAATGCAGATTCGTTGATTTGTAACGATAAGTCGGCTATACTTTTAATATTCGCTTCGCTGGATTGCTAATGTCCATTCATTGACAGTGACTGCACTCTCTGAAGCGCTTTGTCTACAGCTGCTTCCATATCCCATTATTTCTCTTACGACACCGTTTAGCATAAGTTCAACCACTACTGATGTTGCTTTTAAAATCTTTATTTCCATCGCTTCCAGTTTCCAGTTGCCTGTTTTGTTGAATGCTACCCTCTCCAAAATCGAGAGTGCGACATTCCAATCCCCCCTACATGTGCAACTTTGTAGTATAATTCGTCTCGTCGTTCGTTCACAGCTTGCTTATGAAGCTGCTGATTTCTAATGCACAAAGAACATCATTTGTCATTCATCTCTCTGCAGTCAAAGCACTACAGAGTCAGAAATTCCCCTACTTTTTCGTCATTGGAAAGCTCCGGCATCAGACTGGTGTCGAGCTCGTTATTAATTGCTTACTTGTGGTTCGTCTTCTTTAAACTGAAGCAGAAACCAGTTTCGGAACATCTCCGTTTCAGAGTTAAAAGCAGTAATGCCATAGATTGTACGCTACCTGCTAGTAATACAATATTCGCATATGCAAGCTAGCTTATGCAGAAGTTTCACACTCTTGCCACGGTCATGCTTCACTGTTTCGTATTAGTTTCCCAAAAAAATAGGGAAACGGAGGAATAGGTTTCTCTCTCCTGCCTTACGCCGAATTTTGCGCGAAAGAACTCGCTCAGCTTATTCTCATATTTTATTGTATCATAATTTATAAAATTTCTAGTGTTTGTGAATGATCGACATAAATAATTGACCCACACTTTTTATGGATTTTCAAAGTTCGCTTGTCTCTTGTTTTCTTAGACACTGATTGTCCACCGGCGAACATCCAAAGCCTCTTCGTCGACGTATGCATAATTCCCCTATTTACTTTGGACTACTCTTTTTAGGAAAATTGGATTAGAATTGAAATTAGAAAAATTTGAATCTCTGATCCGTAGCTTCTGGAAATGGAAAACGGAGTAAAGAAAGTTTTAGCTTTGAAAAGTTTTCCTTGCACCTTTATGATGGCGCCCTTCCTTTCATGAAACTAATGGATCAGCGCCGATCTTAGTTTATATTCCAACAGCCAGGAGTGCCGTATTTTAAACGCAGAATCTGCATCTGTGTAGCATGCATTGCACGTAATCGCCTCTTTCCTTTCGACAAGTGGTACTCATTTATTTACCTTGGAAAAAAGACAAGAGGGTGACCTGATAAGGCCTTGAACCCAGGATTTCTTGGTTCTGAGTCTGATGCTCTACGGACTGAGTAGCCCCATATGAGGTATACTTGGAAAGAACCGTGGAGAACTGGAGAGAAGCTGCACAATGATCATGCTTTAGCACGTTGGCTTTGCCTCGAAAAATGAATTAACGTGACTCTCTGAAGTATTTCGATCAAAAGGTGCAACATTGGTTTGGCAGTTTTTGCACTACGCGTTGGGATGTCTTTAACTGAGTCTGTAGTTCTTTTGATGCTCTGACACGGATTTTGTAACTTCTTGCATAATTTGGGCTGCTAATCGGTCAGTGACTCATCACATCTGAGAAGTTAATTTGCAGAAACCAAAAGTACACAGATTCGGGTCTCTGTTTGTCGTACATGCGCACTACAGTCATTTGAGAAAGCGAGGAACTCTTATGTTTATATTGATTTAGCAGTCGATAGGTTCTTTAGTCTAATCTTCCACAAGCTAGCATATGTACTTGATTTTGTTGACGATGGTAATGACCAAATCATTGATAAAACCCTAGGTTTATTGCATCTCATAGCCGTTAATGTTTTGTTCGATGGATGCAGCCTCGCGCCATTCCGTTTACTCTAAAACGGTTGCTGCTTCAACATATACATGGTTTTGGATATCTACTTGAGTATATTCTGATTTAGCAAAGTGACGTTTTGAACGATGGACGCTGTTTACGCATATTTCCAAGTAAGATAAGTTCTGGATTAAGTAAATCTGTTTATTAGTCTTTGATTCATTCAACTCTTTAGTTCGGTCATGTAAGGCCAAACTTTCTCCGCTGAATTTAAATATATGCGGTGTTTCGAACAGCCATGGAAGTTCTTCATCATCGGACTGCTTTGGACATTCAAAGTAAAGAGTTGAAATGCTGATAATCGATTCATCATGCCGAATCATAGGAAAATGACTAGCAACAGAAATTTAAATTTCAACGCCGTTAATCTGAGGAGCGTTTGTCAGTCAGACGTAAAATTGATTCAGCCAATCGGCCGCGGTTTCAGTGGCACCGTTTATAAGCGAGTTTTATTTTGTTTGTGTTTTTAATTCTTTCCGTCGTTCACTGTTTCACTACGAATAAATGAATGAATGAATGAATGAGTGACGTCGACAACTTTTTTAAAGGGGCTTACGAACGAATTCAGATGAACTGATCGCTGTGAAGTGCATAATGTTGGACGTCAGTGCGGTAGAACGCGAACAAATTCTGTCCGAACTAGCGATTCTGTACGAGGTGCTTGAAGAAGCACAATTTTTCCGTGAAGTGGTTCTATGCTAGGGCTGTTTATAGTGTTCTTCGCCATATATAATTACCATTCACGATGCATTGTTCATTGACAGCAGTATCGCCATATGCATGGAATATATGGATGGTGAGTATGAACAGTTTTTTAAAAATCGTTGCGGCGTTCATGCGCCGCTTGCGATGCACTGTGTTGATCTTTAGGGGGATCGATCGATCGTTACCTGAACATCCCCGAAAACGTACTGCTAGCTGTTGGTGATGCCGTTGTTTGTGGACTCGCATATCTGTGGGAAAAGAAAATCTTACATCGAGGTAAGCAGTCGAGTGGCACTTCTCTTACTACCGTATGCCTGCAGTTAGTTCTTTTTCAGACGTCAAACCGTCAAACGTACTCATCAACACACGTGGTGACATCAAATTATGCGATTTCAACGTTTCTGTACAAGTGAGTCTGCGAATTGAACTTTGGATTTTGACGCGTCATCATTTGCTTAAAACATGAAACCTTAAGGAAATCGTTTAGGAAATAAATGAGATCCCGCTAATTTGGTCTTGACGACGTTACTGGTGTTGGTAACGACACGTCTCGACTGTTAAGTAGAAACTTGTCATGGTTGTTTTACGCTCGTGTTTCCTTACAGTATATAAAGATGTTCATTTCGGCCAAGAATGGACCCAGAATCGAAATATCGTAGTACGAAATACGCTTTAAAAGTTTTTTCTCGATTTTTAACCAGTAATTTGCACGATTAGCTGTTTGACTAAGATGCTAGTGCTCGCAGTCAAGGTTTGCAGCATTGTACCACTTTCACACAGGTGTTCAGTATAGAGTTGAGTCGGAAGGCTGCGTTGCCTGTGCTCAAGTCGACTTTAATCCTGAAACTCGCTTCTGGTCATGAGCTATGGGTCATGACTGAAAAATTTCGGCAACGGGTTCAAGCGGCTGAATTGGGCTTTCTGGGATGAATCGCTGGAATCACACCTCTCGACATGGTCTGGCGTACAGATGTCCGAGAAATCCTTGGGTAACCGTTGCTTCTTCAAACAGAGGTCACAGCTGCGATGGTTTTGGCTTTTCTCGAGAATGATTTGAGGAAGGAAAGCGAAACAGCTACATCTTGCCCAACTGACCAGTCGAAAACCATGAGCATGGCCACGAACCGGAACAGTGGTCTCATAGGAATTGTCCCTGACTCCATTTATTTTGCTGAAGCTCAGACACTTCAGTAGGAACGAGAATGTTGGAGATACTTTCTAGCTGAAAAACAGACTGTCCTAAGGATTGATTGGCTGACTATTCAGTATAGTTATACGCCCTTAGGTGCAGCAATGTTGCTTCACAGCTGTTTGGAGATTGGTTGAGCGTGGACACCCAGCTTTTGGCGATAGCTTCAAATTGTTTTAAATAGTACTCTATTGCTTAATAATTAATAATTACTTACATATCACCGAATAAAAAAACGCTTCTTAAAACGTGTTGTTGACTCTGGACCCATAATTCATGAGAGGTATAAATTATTCTGAGCATTAGTATTTGAGCATTCATTTTTTATGCATGCTTATGGCAACGATGCTCAAAATAATGGTGACAACGTATTAGTTAATTGATATTCCATGCGCTTCATAGCTGACACCGATATTATGATCAAAACGTAATGAGAGAAAGGTTGAAATCACGCCAGCGCTCTAACGTGATGGCAAAATTTATTAATTGTCTCATACTGAGTGACAATTGAGGTTGCAAAGATCGGTGTTTCTTAATAATTAGCGTCTGCATTCAAACTTTGGTTTATGTCAAAGATGGGAAGTATTTATTGTACATTCGATGTATTCATGCTAAATTATGTTGAGACTCTGGTGTCATTAGCCCGAGCCTGGTATTTCTTTGTCAGTTATTGGAAAATTTGCATCAGTGAAAATGAGACTTGTCCAACAATGCAATGCAATGCGGTGCACGGTTACTGAACATGGCAGTTACAGAACTGCGGCCGATCTTCTTTGATTTTAATGTTAGCTAATCCGTCTATGAATAGTACAAACATGAATTGGATCGTAATCCTTATGGCTTGTAGTATATACTGCTTTGGGACTTCTGGTGGAACGATCGAAAGAAATTTCTTGCATTGAAGCATTCTCACTGTTTTGTCAGTTTTATCGTAAACCATAAATCCCATGCTTATTAAGTAGTTTTTGACTGGCTTTGAAACCTGAGGATAAAATGGAATGGAGTTTATGGATCTCTTTTCAGATAGTTTGTTTAAGTTAAAGCGAAGATGCATTAGTTCATTTTCTTTACTGGTTATACATTTTGTTGATAAACACCTTTACAAGATTTTTGATCTTTGTTCGGTTGGCATGTTGCAACGGACTTGAGACGCGTGCTCACATCTGTGTTCTTTTATGACTTTGGTAGAGAGCCAAATTTTTGGCGACGATGCCTGTTGTGTCTAGCAGTAGACGATGACTGTACAGTGTATAACCAAGCGGTATTTTACAGTGAATTTCTGCACTCCTGCTTTAACTTAAATGAATAAGGATAAGCTGTAATTTCGATTCCCATTTATTACAGAGTTTCAAAGCAAGTAAAAAATCTAGTGATGATAAGGTTTTTTTCTACTTCAAGACTGAGAAAACAATGAGTATGCTTTTTTTCCAAAAGATTACTAAGCGAAAACAGTGGAAATGTCATAAAGTAAGATGCAACAATTACGACGTGGTTTATGCAGGTTATATTTACGTGCTCTTGACACTAGGATTAAGAAACATCTGTTTTCAACCTGCAACTGCCATTCTCAATACTCATTTTATTCCAGTCCCTGTAGAACAGCGTGACATCAGCAGTGCAGTTGTTTTGATAATTAACCGGTAAAACACCAGCTTAGAGCTTGCAGTAGAGGAGTTCCTTCGGATTCCCTCACATAAACGCAAAACTCCAATAGATGCTTCACATCGTTTGAGATTGGTTAAGGTTGGAATGCGATCAGTGACCTATAGCATAAGCTTGATTTCATATTCATAGCTGTACCAAAATATCACTAAAGATTATCACTGAAGTCAAAAATTAAAATTGATATTTTTTGCTCTGCGTCACAGCATTAACTTGCCTTTGACTTCTTTTATTCAGTCCTGACGATATTACTGGTGTCGGTGATGCACAGCATCTACTGTCAGAAAAAATTTAACAATCGTTGTTTTACGTTTGGGTGTTGTAATCAAGTAGCATTTCAGTCGGTACAGAACATTATGCATAGTAATGTACAGCTGCTCCGTAAAACATTGGCATCACAGACTTCTACGCGTGATTCGTTGGGTTTAACCACGTCGTTCCCTTGCTTCCAGTGATCCATGAAAGTTCAAGGCGGCAGCAGCTCAGTCATATTACAGTACTTACAATTTATTGATGCAAAATTGCATCACTTTTGGCGGCTGTTGAACAGCTGTTTGCTTTCGAATGTACTTTATTCATATTACGAGCCAACATGAGCTTGGATTCACTTACAAAGGATAGTATTCATTGCTGTCCGTGATAGTAACCAATACTTGCACTTCTGTTATTCTTCCGGGTTTGTATGCATGATTCTACGCGGAAATGACCCTGTAGATATCTGGAAGCATGAAGGCTTTGCGAACCTGCTTTGTAAATTCGAAGAAATGAAAAGTGTTTCATTGATACTAACAGTTTCGAAAAATGATTTTATTAGTAAATCCATAAGTTCGCCGATACGTCATTTCACAGAGTTTGGTTTTGATTTTCACAATAATCGTAGGTTCAGAGTTAGAAAATTACAGTAGTTTAGGAAATGCATGATACTCAACGTATTGTCTCATTGAACCTGTGATTAACTCAGCTAACTTCGGCTAGGCTAGATATATTTGACGAATACTCTATTATTAAGGCTGTATTATTTAGAACCAAGATTTTAATAAAAACAGAACCGAGTGTTTTGGAAAATATAACTTGCTTCTTTTAGCTTGAAAATTCGATCGCTAGAAGTTTTGTCGGAACAACTGCATACATGGCTGTAAGTTTAGTAGTTCGTTCAGACTTTTCAATTTTCGTATAATTTTGAGTTACGTTTCTTTGACAACAATTTTTTTTAAATAGTAGCCGCTTTGGTCGTAGCTGTATGTTATGTCAGATAAAACGTGGCTTTTGATATAGCTGTAACCCGTTCGTTACTTTTGATCTCAGACAGTTTTAAATCATTCCTGTAAAGATGCGTTTTTCCATTATTTAGTTTATTCACAACTTCTTATCAGTTTTCTTTTTTCTTTTCACCGTTAAAGTTTTCTTTCGTTTCCATGATAAATAATGTTTGCTGTTTGGCTTATGTATGCTGCTTATGTTAAATAACTAATTTAAATGTAATCATTAATGTATGACGATTTTTCAGAAAGTCATTTGTGATGTTGGTAGAATTATTCCTTTCTTCCACTTTATAAGTTGAGAGGTAATTTGTTCACTGATTGCTAAACGCAGTTTAGAGTTCGTGTTCGCACTAATTTAGATGATGTATTAGTTTCTGAAACTTTAGCCTGAACGAGTGCTTGGCAAGGATTATGGCATTACGGCTGATATCTGGAGTCTTGGAGTGTCTTTGGCGGAATTGGCTTTAGGGAAATTTCCCTTTTTCATGGTACGTTGTGAAAGCTAAAGACATGATAATCCTTAACCGGTTTTAGACGAATGGCGAAGGCATAGAAGAAAATAAGTAAGGAAAATTTTGTGCGCGTTGTAAGAAATAATTTAACGTAAAATTTATCTTTAGACTTCCGCCATTGAAGCTGTTGCAACTTATCGTTAAACAGGTAAGTCGCAGATTATTTATTAGTTAAGTAAACTATTTCAAATAATAGTATCATTGGAGATTTCACTAACCGGAATACAATTCTTAAAAATTTTTTAACGGAATGCTGGCGTTTTTTTTTGTGTTACAACTTATGCTAATTATTACACTGGATGGTCAGCTTTTAGGTGATCAAATTGCAGCTACTTGCGGCATTCGCATCGGATAACATGAATATACAATTCACCCATTATGATATGATCACATCTGAATACCTACCTGTTCACAAGTCAAGTACTTGCTACACTTTTTTTTGGTTGAAATGAACTAAGGAGGCATAAATTCGTTGCTCAAGGAAATTCGTGTATAAGACAAGGACCGTTCCTTTTCCGGTTCAAACCCTTTACCTCCATAGTTCGAAGTCAGCCTCTTTGCTACTGTGCCGCCGCGCCATCTAAGCCCCGCATTAGGAATCATACTCTGTCCTTTTTCAAAACAACAGCAGCGTATGCAGACAGTAGCGTGATGTCAATAGACTTATGTCATTGTGACTGATTTTAACACGCTTGCCATTATTCTTCAACTACCGTTTGATGTTTTCGATTACGTATCACTGATATCCAATCTAATGTAGCGATACCTTGATGCATCAAGACGATGATTAATTAACATTTCTTTAATTTTGTCGGCGATATCACCAAGGCTCCAAAAGTTATCAAAACCGAATGCAAAAGTATTGGACATTTTATAGCGTGTTGTAATCAACTAGCACGCTCTCTCATGCAGAGAATATGTATCCGAAGAACCTGTATTTCATCTGCAAGATCAGAAAGCCATTAGTAGCCAATGGCCACCGTAGGTGCCAGTGATCCGTGAACCGAAAGCGTTAAGGGTTTCTTGAGATTTAATTTTTGGCATGGTGTCAAGTGTCTTAAATGTTATCAGCCTATTAAATGTGCTTGAAGTATGATTGAGTACGCTCATACCTTTCAGCTTTATTAGTTTTATGCACGGATTTCCTATTTATAGCATTTCCAATTATGGTAACCAGAATGGATCATTTCAGTATGGACAGAGCTATACGTGAAAGCGACTATTCCTTCGTCTGATCATATTTTTTGAAATTCAAAGGCTGCCAAACAGCGCTATGCAAAATCTCTCAATTTTCAGTCAGCGCTTTTGTTTTAGTTCATTTATTTTGTTTTTCTCTACTCATGTTATGTGATATTTCCCTATCTTTCTGCGATACTTTGCTACTATACCTTTGTCATCTTATTGGTATTGTGTGCCATTGAAGTATTATTTGCTTTTGCTCTGCTACAAAATGGGATTCATTTGCGATTCCATTGAAAATACTCATTCCGGCTGTTTCTGACGTAAAAATGCTGTAGTATACTGAACTTTTATGCACTTCTGTTTACTAGAAAATAAGTTATTGAATTATTAACAGAAAGTTTTAAATAATACCGTAATTCAGTTCCAATCATTGTTTTCCATTTGGTAGTGCATCAGGTGTTTAAAGCTGTTGTCGATGAATCACACCGCAATTGATAAATATTTTTATATCATATATTTTTTATTATGTATTAATACACACTGAATTCATAAACGCTCTTATATATGATTACTGTACATGAAAGTTGACTATTAAAATATTTTACTAAGTAATTTCTGGAAAAGTTTGGTTGCATAGTCACCAATTTCGAGTTTTGAACTAATAAACGCTGAATAAACTGAGGAATGCTTTAGGATCTGAACAGCTTGACGTATCCTGTTGGAGTATCGAATGAGTTGAAGACGCTCATCAGCTTGTGGTAAGAGAAAATTTCAGGCACTAATTTTATTTCTTTGTTTCTCCCGCAAACGAGCTCCTGGTAAAATATTCCAAACCACTGAGTTTATTTGCACGAAGACAGCTTTACATATCGGACATTGGCCAATTTTTATAAAAGTTCTTACCGTTATCTGCTGTTTCACCGTGTTTTGGAATCAACTTGTCAGCTGACCTTATGTGACATGAACTTGTTCTTCAGTTATAATTCGATGCTGGATAAAGAAGCATTCATTCTATGAGACTAAGCAACTAAAATGCGCCATAAAAGGCATTCGTCGCTGCACAGTGTTCATGCATGCATTATGCGCCTGCATTATGGCACTTAACAGCATTGCGGCAGATGAAGACGGATGTTCCTGACCACTCATCTTGAAGACGACTGGCGATTAATCTCAGAGATCTGGTCAGAGGACGAAGCGGTCGTCTGAGTATTATCGACGTGCACGCAAATTGTTACGAGAAATCATAATCGAAATCAGCCACTCAGAAAAATGAAACTCACAAGAATTTTCTAATTCTGATGCTGCAAACCTAGTGAGAAAAAGGTTCGTCAATGTTTTGTCAATTAAGTGAAAAGGAACTTCATTAAAGACAGAAAAGTGTGGCCCAACTTAAATAATCCGACAAGTTGGAACCTGCGACTATCAGGGATTGGCGTTCTGCTGTTCGTAAGCAATCCAGATTAGCCGATCAAGTTCCACCTTTCACATGTCTCGTCCCTGATACGCGCGGAAATCATTGCCAAACGTGAACAGATGCTGGAAAGGATCATTTTATAAGTTTGTCTGGTTCAGATTACCTAGAAGGCCATCGAAAATGGAACTTTCCTCTGATCCAAACCTCACTTCCCAACGGAAAAAAGTAACAGGATCTTCAAATATCTGGAGAGACGAACAAATCCAGCATTTCATATAAAATGCGAACAGGGTTAATCGCATTCGCTAGCTAAGGCATTCGGCATAAGTTCCAGAGACTCTTCCGTCTCATGTGAACTGGGAAGAAATTTCCTGCAGATTATAAAAAGGAGATGATCCCGTATCACCGCGCCTGCTGCATAAATCACGCATGTCAGATGCATAATGCGTAAGGCCGCATTTAGTCGGGGCTCCCTTATCTGGTTTGGGTCAATGTCGGAGTAATTCTACATTAATTTACCCCTGACTTCTATGCTTCGATCAAGTAGGTCTTAATGTCTGCAACTCTGGGAATGCACAACGCGGCAGGTGTTCTCACTCCAAGAGAATCCGTAAAAGGTGGCACCAGTGCAACAGATACTTTCTTAGTACCGTGTACATTCAGTTTTATGTTTCGTGCGACAACTATTTTAGTTGCAATTTTTTATAAATGTTCGATTTCAGAAAACAGTATTTACTATTGTTTAGTTTATTCCTGAATAAAGGAAAAACAGTTGACCTGTTTTCTTAGATAAGGTTATCATTCATCTTTTGTTTTTCGATAGCTTGATTAAAGATCCTGTCAAACGACCAGATCCAAAATCCCTGCTGTCCTGCCCCTGTCTTGCTGCTGTGCATCCGTACGACCGTTTGGCCATATCACGCTGGATTTTGAACGACTCTTTTTTGCGTGTTTGCTAATAAATTTTTCTGCGACGATAAAATGCCTTTCATTAGTGCTCATTGTGTTGGGTAACACCAGAATAACATGTTTTGACTTTTGCTGAAATTCTGTACCGCGATTTTCATTCATCGTGTCTTTTTCAAAGATGAGAAACCTTCAGCTCATGCAT